AATATCTTCTTGCCGCAAATCACGAGACAACTGAGGCCCAGTTTGGCCGAGGGACCTCGCTGGCTAGACGGCAGCAAATTGCGAGAATAGTGAGAGGCGTGAAGGAAGCGGCAGAGTCGTCTCTAAAGGCCTTTCTGGAAGGGTAATTTATGTGCGCCCTGATCAATGGGTTAATTAAATGGAGAGCGGGAGAAACGGGGAGGGTCATTGGCACAGAGGGACGGGCGAGGGCTAAGTGGGACAACCGTTTACATCTGGAGCATATCGAGCCCACCGCGAACGCTTCAAACCGTAATGAAATGGACGAGCGCCACCCAATTCTTCTCCCCGGGGGGAAATTGTTCATGTTAGTGATGATGTCAGCCGGAGGATCAATACAGCGTTGCCTCCTTTGGATTTGTCTCTTTGGATTTGTCAAAGTTTTGTAAAAAAAAAAAAAAAAAAAAAAAAGCTGTCAAGGAGGCAATCCATGGGGCGGTCTTGGAGAGACCTTTGGGGAAAAAAAAAATCTATTCTGATATTCAGTCGTCAATAAAATTCGCAATGGGAAGGAAGAGGAAGCGTCAGGCAGACCAAAAATATGCATTGGTCATCCAGGATGTTCGGTGTGATCCCCGGTCCGAGTGTTCAACCCAAACGAAAGGCCTGGGAGGTGGAAACCAGGCGCAAAAAAATAAAAATAAATAATAATAATAATAATAATAATCCTGTTGACTTGCAGGCTTTGAAATGGCCTCTTCCGTTCCGTGCCTCCAAGTCCCTGGAGTGGGAGCCCAAATGGAACTCGAAGGTTTTATGCGGGCGCCAGGGGAGCTCCGCTTTGCTTTCTTCCCGTGTCCTGGGGGGCCAGTAGCAAACCCTCCACCCCACCAGCCCCAGCGTCCCCCATCCAATCCCGGCAGCTGTTTCCGAGTGATACGCACTAACAGACATCCCAGCGAGGCAATCTGCTTTGCCACTAGCGTGTGATCAAGGTTACACTCCCTTAGCAGGGCTAATTAGGCTGACAACACCACCCACATCTTTCTTCCTCTAATGCCGAACTCTGTGTCTATACATTCATGCATCTTTAATTTCCCCGCATTTTTTTTTTTTTTTTTGTGCTCCACCTCAGGTAGTTTAAAGATTGTGCGAACGTGACTCATGAAGGGCACGGCAGGGGCTTCATTTTTCCCACCAGGATGATAAAGCTGCGGGCCAAGTAGATAGGAGCGTGCAGTAAAGTTCAGTGCCGGCCACTGACATTTACGTGCCGACCGCTACCTGTGCAAAACAGATTGGGGCTGAAGAGGGGTCTTTGCATTGGGTAACATTTGTCACCAAAAGGACACGCTGTGGCCTTGGAGCGCCGTGGATGAACGGTCGGAGCAACACGAACTGTTTTCTCTCAGGCATGGAGGACACGCATGCGGCAAATATCAAGGCCAGAACAACAACAACAACGGCAACAACAAAAAGTGCATTTCCTGAGAGTGAACCCGAGAGAGAAGCAGACAAAAGTTCTGTAGCGGCGTCTCTTGTGCGTTTGTGTATTCTCACACGCGCGCGTCGCCGTTCATCCCCCCCTCCCGCCCCCGCATCGGTTGTGACAGTGACAACAACCATCATGGGCTGCTTGGCATCAGCTGAGCGTGAAAGTCCAATGCTGACACAGAGGCGCTCATTCGTCACTGTCAGCCGCCGTCTCGCCCCGGCCAAAGCGTCAGCGCAGCCACACAAATTGCCAACCCGAAAAGAGCAGAGCTAATTCTCCAACGTGAGAACCGGCGTCTTGGTTTCATTATTGTATGACATGCTGACAGTTGAAAGCCCGGCAGCCCTACAAAGCATCAGCGGGGGCTTGAAATGATGTAATTGCTCAATGGGACGTCTGAATGTTTTTCAAGGTGCGTTTAAGGAGGTCGCGCCGCCGACGGCAAGCGTAAAAATATTTTTTAAAAAGGAGGTATATGGTTGCCGTTGAAAAAAACACGGCGGGAGTCCAAAACCCGTGGCTACGGAGCCGCACGCGGTTCTGTCAGCCTTCCGTCGTGGGCTCTCGCTTTGGAAAATAAATGCCGAGCTTTTCATTTCAATTGACCTTATATTGCAACGTTTTGGAATTAGAGCGCCGACTGGCACCCAAAATCAAAGAACCCCCGAAATCGTTTTGACTTTCTTTTGGCGTGTGGTAAATACGTTTGGTGCACTACCACCAGTGGTAATCCACCAAAAGTATTTGTCAACCCCCCGGCACACCACCGCAGCCTCCGAAATAAAAAAATGTATAAATCAAGCACAAAATCAAATTGGAGTCGCATTCTTGGCAACTAATATGTGACATATCGCAAGTTCAGCATGCAGCTTCCTTACGCCACAACAATGATTTCCAGCACCAAAACGCGCAGTAGTTGACTGCGATTCTATCTTGGGCCACCATTCGACGCAGGAATTCGAGTTAAGGTAAGCCATTTTGAACTAAAAAGAAAAATACAGCATATGTTGTCAACCAATCAGCATCTCGTGCCTGGACTGTTTCCATCTGGAGTGCCTGACAAACTTGGCTCCAACACTCCTTTTTGGGGCACTCTGAAGAACTGAACGGCACATTTGAACAAAGTTCTGAGTTTTCGAACAGTGGGAGTTAAGCACTGCACACTTGGAGCACACAGCCACTATTCGGGAGACGGGCATTTCGGGTGCGAGTCCGAGCTGCTCTTGGTCTCCGTTTTCCCCAAATAATGCAAATTATACTCCAGAGCAACTTATTATGTATTTTTTTTTCTTCTCCGCGACTCATATTTTGACTGTTGCGACTTATATGCCGGAGCAACTTACAGTCCCAAAAATACAGTCGAAATGAGTTCTTCCATTTTTCAGTGATGGCTCGCACTCCGGATCCCCTTTGTGAGTCGGTCCAGGTTTGTGCATGCAATCCAAACGACCGTGCGCGATTCCGACGCATGTAGCAGAACAACAGTGGGGAAGTGTGCCACAGAAGAGGGAGGTGGGAGGGGGGCGGGGGGTGTGCTACTGTCAGTCATTCTCAGTGGCCGGCTGAACAGCTGCTTCCCACCCCCGCTGTCTGTGTCACGCTTTCTAGTCAAGATGCATGAAACGCTTCTTTTAATCTTCGCAGGATTGTGGGAGGTACGTGGCGGTGGCTGGCGGGCCCTGCGGGCAGTTGTGCTTTCTTTTACCTTTTATCTATTCGAGAAGAAGACCAACAAATGTCCATTGATCCCGGCCGGTGTCACCCGCTCTGAGCCAGGGTGGTGAGCCGGGGGAGAGGAGAGCGGAGAGAGTTCAGCCCATCTCCAACCTCCTTAATGAACCCATCGCTAATAGGCTGAGTGAGGTCTGAAGACACGGATAAGATGCGGACAATAGCAATTGAAGCAGATGTTTCATTCACATGGAGAGCTTCCTGGAAACGCTCACTTCATTGTTCTCGTAGGAAACGCATGGCTCTTTCTCTTTTGCAAGGAACGCAGACGCAGATATTTGAGCACGGTGGCGATCCAATTTGTATCTACCTCGTATGTGTACTCCAGCAAAAAACAAAAAAGCACCAGCCAAAACTTAAGTCTGTCCCACATTTGGCTTTGCGAAATGTCGCTGCAGTGCAACAAGACACACTGTGGAGCGAGCCAGGGCTCAGTTGGGAAGCAAATTGAACGCGACGTACAAATACACGGTAAGCACATCAAGCACTAAACGCATACAGAAATGATGACCGAAGGCAATAAACAGAGAGGCCCCTGCTGGCTGCACACTTAAGTCTCACAAGTCCATTTCGTCGTGACGGGTGAAGAAGCGCGGCGCTTCCATCTCACGGGTTTTACATGTTAGTGTTTGCGTCAATTGTTTACATGGCAGGGCGGACTGCCCTTGCCTTTGCAGAGCAATAATGTAAACATTTATCGGTGGGAGAATGCAAAGCAAAATATGATCAACAGTCTTGAGATGCATGTTTGCACAAATCGCACCCCTTACGTGGCTTCGGAGGACAACCAACAGCTTCTGGTGCCTTGAGATGCCATTAATTCTTTCCAGCCTTTGACTCAAAATAACAAAATTGTGTTGAGGATAAAGAACATATGCCTGTCTTGGGGTCACTAACCGTTTTGAAAATGAGAGCAAATTTGGGGGAACTGATTTCATGCAAAGGGTAAACCAGTTTGATACACCCTGCACAAGGACTAGTAAATCACAATGTCCAATCCCTGGTGAGTTATTTTTAGAGAATGTCCTTGTTGGAGACACTTGGACCAAACATGTCAAACGGGGCTGAACCATTTTGAAAAATAAGCCTCATTACAATTTTTTTCCCCGCCCTCGACATTCCGTTTGCAATTTAACACACGATTACTTTTTCAATGCTTTTCATTACCATGCGTTTTTGTCCTCACATCCTCAGCGACCATATAGGGCAGGTGAACTGCATGAAAGGCAAAAAAAAAAAAAACCCAAAAAGAGTGCTAATTAAGCCGAGCCAGGCTGCGGCTGAGCACAGAGGTCTTCCTTGTCCCCGCTGAATCCTGTCATCTAGCATGCCCCGTTGATCCGAGCGGGCCACAACAGACAGCAGCCTGCGTGGCATATCAATGCGGCCCATTCTTTGTGTGCCGCTTGCATTTCGGGGACCATGCCCTCACAGCTATGGTGTTTCCTGTTTTGCGCTTTCTCGGTCGAGGAAAGAAAGGAGGCCCGCGTGGACGTGAAAGACGAGCACCGTGCCACACGCGTGACGCCGCAGTGTGCACCTTGATGAACATGGGACGAGGACTGAGAGCAATTTGCATTCAAGTGAATGAACAGAAGCCCGTGGAAGCCGCATTTCACTACGAGGTGTCCGTTAACGGAGCAGAGGGAAATGTCAATATGTCCCAAAATATGATTTAAGAAACACTGCACACATTATTTGGACAAGTGAGTGTGCATTTCTTCGGCGTTTAACAGTATGAGCAGCAAAGAGAACACAAAGTGTAGATGAAGATGTGTGAAGCACTCGGTCTGACCTGTTAATTTGGGGTCCCCAGGTGCTGGTGGAGAGCCAGGTTCCCACTGATGTCCTTTCTTATCTCCTCGGATTGTGTCCTTCGCTTGCCAAAAAGCCCATTCAAGCAACAGAGTCTATAAAGATGATTCCAAAAAAAAAATCGAAATTAAAAAAATAAAATAAAAACTAACTGACAACAGCAGTCCCTCCCTTCGAGAGTCAAAGTGGGCTAATGGCAACGGAGACTGAACCCACATGCAAACATTAAAATGCGTCTTTAAAAAAAAAAAAAAAAAACGGCGGCGTGGCGGAGGGATAATCAGCAGGAGGCTCTACAGCAGCTCAAACCGCATCCGTGCGCGCTCGGCCGCCGTCGTCTCCAGCAAGACGGCAGCACATTCGCTCATGGTTTCACCGCCTAGCAGCTGGGTCCACATCGAGTGCGATTCGAGGCCCGGCCGAGCAACACCAGAACCTCCGAGCGGCGTGGACGAGTCTGCGGATACCACATCGCCGAGCAGTCACCTGTGATTGCAACTCGGCTTCGCTCGTCCTCCGCGTCGTTGTCGCGGCGAATTCCTCAAACCAAACGCCAAAAGGCTCCCAAAAAAAAAAAAGAATCCGGTGCAGTTTCCGTGGGCAACTCGCGGTCTCTGCTCGTCTGCCGCTGAGGTGAGCCGCCTCGGCGCGCGCCCCCGTGACGTGCGCGTCTTCGCCGGCACGCCCCCGCGGCGCGGGGCACGCGCCGCAGTGTCCTCCTCCAGAGCGAGAGCGGGTCGCCATGGCAACGCTTGCCTATGACCTCAATACGACGGCGCGTGATGCAGCCTCGGCATCCTTTGGACGGATAGAAAGCATTGGCGCTGAAGGGGACTAGCTTTATTTTATTTGGATTTTTTTTTCCTTCTTTCGAGCGCCATCAGCGGGTCGAATTTGCAGATGAGTGATGTCAGAGGACGTTGTTGGAGCAGATGTCCATTTTGTTTCGTCACAGCCACCAAATCCGGGTTTTTTTAAACTTTTTACACCAAGTACGCCCAAAAAGAAATACTCTCCAATGTGCTCATTTTGAACATTAACACCAAGTGTAAATGTAGGGCTTGTGACAAGGTCAATGGTCGGTGGGTTTGAGCAGCCAAATCTCCTCATCTTTATGCTACCTTTCCTTCACCTCTTTTGGATGCTGTCATCAAGCCAAGGGGAGATGTAAACGTGCTTCCTTTAAGGTTTTCGTATTCAGGTTTCTGTCAGTCGATAGTTTGTAATTTTCAATGTGAAATGAAGTGTGACGTCATAAGACAGCACCTCCTGAGAGCCGCCAAGGAAAATTGTTGAACAAAGACAAAAGAAGGCGCTTAGCGATCAAGAATCCATATGGGCGGAGTCTAATGTTAAGGTCGAGCCCATATTGAGCCACACCTTGAAATGCGTTCTGCAGCCAGGGCTTATTTGGGTGGGTTGCATTAATCGGCAGCACCCCCCCCCAGCACTCCCCCCCCCCACACCCTCTTCGACCTCGTCCCCTTCAAGGGCTGATAATCAGATCGCTTTCAGTGTGTTTCAGTCCCTGAACTCATCGCTGCAGATGGTGGAAGCTGTGTGTTGGCAGCACCTGCGCCTCTGGATGCAACACGACCACATGTGTGATTACACCGGCGGCAGTGCAGCCAAGCATCAACCCCCCCCACTACCCCTCCGCCACCAGTCGATGCCTTTCCAGCCTGACACGGACTTCCCTGATCATCAGATTACACTTCGGGCCCAAGCTACCAAAAACACGCGCAATTCAGCACCCGCGACTAAGGTTCTTGGTAAAATCAGACCAAGAGGAAGATGCCACCAGAGCATGTGAGCAGGCCCCATATGTGGTCATGTCCTTCCGGGCGATATAAGTGGGCCCAACGTCACAATCTTTTCGGTTCGCTTGGGAGACAGCGGAATCCAAGAGAGACATTTTTCCAAGGACCATATTCCATATTCCACATGCCAATGGAACATAAACTGTGTGTGTGTGTGTGTGTGTGTGTGTGTGTGTGTGTGTGTGTGTGTGTGTGTGTGTGTGTGTGTGTGTGTGTGTGTGTGTGTGTGTGCGTGCGTGCATATATACGTATGGGGTTTGCATGTTCTCACCGTGCCTACGTGGATTTTCTCCGGGTACTCCGGTTTCCCAAAACATTTATGGGAGGTTAATGGAAGACTCCAAATTGTCCGTAAGTGTGATTGTGAGTGTGAACGGTTGTTTGTTTGTCTATGTGTGCCCCTTGATGGGCTGCCAACTGGTTCACGGTGTACCATACTGCCCCGGAGTCACCTGGAATAGCCTCCAGAATGCCCACAACCCTCATGAGGTAAGAAGACTTTTTTTTAAGACAACTTTATTCATGCAGGGATGTCAGATTTACTTGCTGATACTTTGCAATCATATCAGAGCTTTTAACTGACCAAAAGTCAAGACAGGGAGTAGTGATTAGTGGAATGTATTTGTTTCCTTTGTGCACCAGTTGGCCTGCATGTAGGAAAGCCATTTAATTGTGAATTCATTTGGGGACCACCAAGCCTTGGCTTGGAGGTCCTCAGGGGTCTCCAGACCCTAGTTTGAGACACCCTGTGTTTCAAAGTCTATTTAGCACCGCTCCACTCACGCAGCTCCACCGAGAATAGACCCTGACAGGTCGATTTGGAGCCTCCATCGGGTAATTTGTGTTTGCAAATGCTCGTCACCGCAATCTTCTAAAACCATTAACCTTTCAGTCGGAGGGACCCCGAGTAGACAATAAAGCTCGTTTTCTCTCGGCCTAATTTACCTTTCCCCGAGCTGAATGACTGACGCAAATGCCCCCACCGCCATCTTTACGTGTTGTCAAAATGCAAGAGGCCGGCCTGTTTTAAGATGTTGATTAAGGCAGTTAGACAGCACGCTGGACTGCTTGCATAATGTCCCCCTACCAACCGCCACCCCCCTCGCATCTCTAACATTTCACTGAACCTCCACTCCCAAACTTGTGAACAAATCATTCCAGTTCAACAGGCAGGCTTAGCCAAGTTGACGAATGACGTTTAATGTATTAAATTGGCTGGACGCTTTCATTTCCTTTGTTTTTATCGCCGCCATGGAGAAGTGCAGCCAAGACAAATCGGAGGGTGCACTGGTGCACTAATTTCAAGACGGAAATAAAGGGGAAAATAAAAATAATCAGCCCGAGTGCACAGTTAATTGAACCGCTTTGGATGTATAGAAGCTCGCGGCGAGGAATGTAAAACTTGCCCTCATTTTCGCCTCCATTACACCATCTGAGCGGCGCCGCGTTAAATGAGGGAGCTGTGCTGGTCAAGACACGCCTCATCAATATCTCGGCTCATTTGTGAACTTAGGAACCGTCAAACGTTATTTTGGGTTCAGGCTTCGCGCGAGCTACGTCAGGACGAATGAGCTATTGTTTGTTCATCCTTTAAAAAAAAAAAAAAAAAAAGTGAAATGCTACCTATCATATAGGCCTCCACTGCAACCGAGTATCCGCTCTGTGATGGGAGTTGAAATAAAAAAAATGGAACTGGCTTCTGCAGAAAATACATCTCTTCCCCCTGTGATAAAACCCCTCACTGCAAGCAAGTTTCCAAAGCTAGAAGATCGACATTTTGGGCCTAATTGGTGCCAGTGGCTAAATCGCATCTATTTGCATTGATCTCCTTTGAAGAGCCATGCAGATGAGCTTAAGCAGGCTACTAATTATGCTTGCACGACGACGTGGGGAGCCTGCTGGAACTGCAACTCTGTGTGTGTTGTGTGTGTGTGTGTGTGTGTGTGTGTGTGTGTGTGTGTGTGTGTGTGTGTGTGAGGGAGGGATCTTTGCGGGTGCACAGCAGTCGTTTGAAGTGGAAGGAATGAAAGTTGAGCGTGTGCAGATGCAAACAACCTGACTATGAAGAGTACGACCAGCGTTTAAGGTGCAACAACTGATATCCGTGTTTGGTAGTCAACAACAGTGATGCCGGGCACGCATGAGAAAGTCACACGCAACCCGAATGAACACATGTATGTGAAACTAAGTGAATAATTAACAAATAAAATACAGGAAGAGAGCCCATTTCTAGATAGAGACACAGCATACAACTGTGCATTAAGAAGGATTTCGAAAGGTGGACTCGAGTATTTACAGTTTGAAGTGAAGCATTCTGCGACTTCACAATTTGTATTCCCATCTGGGGGGAGTGATGTCACGTAATTGTCGTGTCACATCTCGATCACTTTTTCAAACTGGAAATCCAGTCGCTGTTTTGAGTTTGTGTCAGCTGAAGAAAATATGATGGTACGACGCCTACTTGTGCTGTTAGCAAAGTGTTATCTAGCTTCGAAAACACCGCCAGTGTGTCAAATTAAAAAGCATAAAACATGTGGATCGTAGCGCATTCCACCTTAAAGAGAAAGACCCCACAGGCCGGTGTGACTCTATGAGGTCAATGTACATTATAAATAGTTGCCAATATGTACAGTTAAATTTGTTTATGTGAAGTGAAATCCAGAAAGAACCCCCCCCCAAAAAAAAGAAAATAATGACTTATGTTCAGTAAAAACAAGGTTGCCTTAATTTTATGCGCAATTAAAAATTAAAGGGTATTCTTAAACATCACTGTTAAAAATATATTTCCAATTAAGCATGGGCAAAACTGGCTGTGAATTTTATGTAAAGCGGGGTTGTGGGCATCTGGTGACTCGAAGAAATCAAGTAACTTGTAATCTAACTGTTACTTTTAAAATAAAATAATTAGTAACTTAACCGTGTCACTTACATAGATAGGTAATCAGTAAAGTAACTAAGAGGCGTGTTTCAAGGTAACTGTAGCAGCACTGGTCACCGCACAAAAGGGCTATTTCGCAGCCAAAAGAATATCGTTTTGTTGACATGACTGTTTGCATACCTGAGGCTGTTTTGGTCCGCCGCGCGCGTGCGCGTGTTCCGATGCCAATGACTGGTGTCGCCTCCCTTTGCACACAACAGCCTGCGTAGCGAGACAAAATGTCAGTGGACAGCACCCTCCATCCCCGCTGTTTCTCGCAGCATCCTCTCCGAATTCCTTCTTGGCTGAGAGCGATGGAACGACACAAGTCGTTGATGTGAAAAGCTGTGACACGCGGGCGCGCAGTGCCTCCGTTTTGTCGGGTTAAACGTCTCCAAGTCGCCATCATGCACAATCAGATAATTGGCTACTCGAAGTGAGTCAAAACACACAAAGAATGTTCTTATTAGTGCTCACGCGCGCGTATTTTTAGTCTTAACTTTGCAACACATGATAGGAGCAAAAAAAAAAAAAAACAACAACAACAAAACAAAACAGGGCCAAGGCTTTGATTAGATTTTTTTTCACCTTTGAGGGCTAGGGCTGTTTTTTTTTTTTGCAAGTTTCAGAATCACCGGTGACGCCTGTGACTCATACCAGGCTTGATTGTAACCCTGCACTCATTAAATGTGTGAAGTAAATAGCTTTGTCTCAATGCTGTTTCAAAGTCACCTGAGGACAAGGCTTGCTTGGTGGGAAATAGTCGATGATTCTCCATCCTGACACACCTAAGCACAACAGCGCCCCCCTCTGGCAAGCTCTCTGTATGAATAGGTGCCTCATTAAAGGGGTTCCAAACAACAAAAAAATTAAAGCATACATCCCCTGCAACAAACATCACTTCACCCTTTCACTATTTCCCCCAATTTGCAACTAGCAATGCATAGTGTTAACCCCTCTGCACGGCTCCTTTGGTGCTGTGTCAGTTTGGCGAGATTAATTATTCATACAGAGGAAAGTGCGGTCCTATAATGCAGCCATTCTATGAATAATACATTTTGAATATGAGTTCTGAAACAAAGCACTGACTGTGATTAATGTGATGATTTCTCACACACACACACACACACACACACACACACACACACACACGCAAACACACA